CAAGAGATAATTCAAAGACAAATACTGAAGTTTTTGTTATACTCATATGTATATATATGTATATATGTATATATATGTATATATATGTATATATGTATATATATATATGTAAGTATGTATATACAGATATATTTATATGTGTTTTATTTATAAACCAATTTTAAAAGAAAGATGTTCTGTGGTTATAACTCCTAAAAACTATGGAAAGAAAGCTAATAAGTATTAGTAATTTTCCCTTGTTGATGCTTTATATGATGCACACTCACATATACACACCGTCTGGACCTGTCCATTGGGGTTCAGTTTCTATATTCATTGCCTTTTTTCACCTCAGAGTTGAGGTGTTCTGGTGGAGTTGGCTCTTGGTTTGGATATCCCAAATTATTTCTCCTAACATACATTTTTCATTTTTGCTGCGTATAGCTTAAGAACTGTTTCTTCCTTCTTTCCTTGGTGGAGACATTCTTTTTTTGGGAGGAGGACATGCAAATCACAGTTTATATTTCACTGTATTATGTTTCTTGAACATCTGCTTCCTACTATTAGTAATACTGTCAGGGACAGAGTCTCATAGAAGAGCTCCAAAATCGGAGTGGCAGAGCAATAGGCAACATGAGGTCATTCTTAATTTGTCTTAAGGATCTTTAAAATAATTATTTATAAATTCTCACTCTGGATTTTTGTGAAATTTACACCTTCCTTTCAGCAGTTTCAATTTAGGGTAGAAGTTGCCTGCTTAGAATTTCCCATTTATCATAGAAGAAATCCCCTCATTTCCCATAGGGCAAAGTAGTGTGGGTTTGATACAGATTGAGCTATTTGTATGCTTAGTATCAAGTGGCAGTCATGATAAATGTCTCAAAACTTCCCTAGAGGGGAATCACATTAATGCAAAGGTGCAAAATGGAAAGGTGTGCCTTTACTTAACCTTTAGAATGCATCTTTGTGTATGAATTCATCATCTTTCAGGATTATGGGGCAAGTTTTGAAGTATTTTCTACTTAAAAACTTGATTTAAAATAAAAAGTCCTCTTCCCTCATTTTCAGAATGAATATTATCTCGGGAGGGTAGAAGAGGTAATAGAGGTCTCTTTATATAACTGAACAATTCTGTCTTATACTTGCCACGATAGTGCGAAGAATGGAGATGGACACGGTAGTAGGTCTTCCCCAGAGCCTGCCTGTCTGCCGTGGTCACGTAGTACTAAGTTGCTTGGGAGTGGGGTGGAGCAGCTCTCTTTAATGATTTCTTGGTATAGCCCTCAACAAAGCTGTGTCAATTCCCTTGGCTTTACAGACTATTGCCCAGAAGAAAAGATGTTTGGTTTTCACAAGCCAAAGATGTACCGAAGTATAGAGGGCTGCTGTATTTGCAGAGCTAAGTCCTCCAGTTCTCGATTCACTGACAGTAAACGCTATGAAAAGGACTTCCAGAGCTGTTTTGGGTAAGATCATCTGATGTGAATAACTTGTGTTTGTACCATGCTTAGAGTGAAAAAAATCACAGCATATGGAAATATTTTCAAGCAAGGTGATTGGAGCAGTGTGCTAATAAATTGACTAAAATAACGTATTCTAATCTAGGCTATTTAAATCCCTTGATCTTAAAATGAATCAAACAGTACTGACAACTTTCTTTTTTTCTGGATTATGGGAAACTACCAAGTTAATTGTGAAGCCCCCTTGTAGTTAAAACTAAACAAACCCTTTTGTTAACTTGGGTTTACAAAGGGAGTTTTTAAAAATTGCCCTTATTCTCTCTTATAATCCTCCAGTAGTTTTCTCTTTGTATTGTTTTTCTAAACAGTAGAAATATGTTTTAACCTAACATGATGAGGAAGGTGGTACTAACAAGGCTTTAACCCTTTCCTGCAACCTTTCAGGGTATGTTAGCTTTCATTTTATAATTTCATTTCACATTCATCTTTCGACAGTAAACCTCTGCTTAGTAAAATGGAATTTACTTTCCAACAAATATTTTGATAAAATGTTTAATGTTGAACTATTTCCTGTGTTAAAAATTAATTTCATCACATTATTTTTCTTATCAGAACATTTGTTGATCTCTTATTCTGATGTTGACCTTACCTTTTAAAATCACATTTTTTATTTTAATGTCTTTTTTCTAATAATATACATAATGCATTATCTGTATTTTTCTCTCTGTATCTATAACACAGGGAAAAATGTAGTAAGTGAAAGTTTCTCAGAGATAAAATTAAACAGTTTGGTGACTAGTCCTATAGATTTCTACCCCCCTACAGAGATATAGTCACTTTAAAGAAATTGTTTCTTTTGTTTGTTGTGAAACTAGAATAACATTTATTTTTTTAAACAACGCGTTTTTCTTTTTTACAAAAAGGATGGCATTTTGTTGCTTACGAAATATCTACACATTTCAAGATTAGACAGCAATTTTAAAAATCATGATGATGTGCTCGTTTCGGCAGCATATATACTAAAAATCCTGATGACCAGTATCTTTTCTAGGCTTAAATTTTACTGTTTATTTTAAAAACAGTTCCTTGTTTTTAAATGACCAAACTGCAGTACATAGAATTGGTTCATTGGGTGTAGAAATTAATTATATTTTTTAAACACTACAGAAACAATGAAATTTGATTGTCCAGGATTATTGGAAATTACATCTATAAATTATAAGTGTATATAGTTTTTCCAAAAAGAAGTGTACTTGCAAGAATTCTTTAAAGTAAAGGAGAGTAATAAAAAGGCTTGATTGTTTTCTTATCAGGTTGCATGAGACTCGTTCAGGAGACATCTGCAATGCCTGTGTCCTGCTTGTGAAAAGATGGAAGAAGCTGCCAGCAGGATCAAAAAAAAATTGGAATCATGTTAGTTCGTCTTCTTTTTCTTATTATTGTTGCTATTGAGTCGTTTATACCTCTATTATATTGAAAACAACATTAATTTACCCTCTTATTTAGGAAGTAATATATCCCTAGGGTAGAAAAGCCTGAAAAAAGAAAAACACTAGGTGTTGCTCAGATATAATCACTTAACACTTTGGCATGTATGGAGGCAAAGTAGCCTTGGTGTGACACTTCCCTAAAGCTGTTAAGAGCCCATAGCACATTGGAGCCAGACCTGGATTTGAATTCTGCCTTTACCCCACTTATTAACTGTGGACTTTGGGCAGATTACATTTATAAAATGCAAAGATAATAGCTGTCTCATAGGGCTCTTATGAGAACTGAATGAGATGATATATAAAAAAATACAACACGTGGTAATCACTCAATTAGATGGGAGCTATTGTTATGTTCTATTTTTAAGTCTAGTTGAGATCACAGTGACATGTAATACGTATTCTGTTTCTTCCGTGTCATTAGAATTTTTCATGAAATATGAAGCAACACTGTTATGACACCCACCCTCGCCCAATTACTAGTTTCAGTGAAATAAGGCAAAATACATAATTTCTCTTTGCCTTGTTTTCTTCACCCTAAAGCTGGAGTAACAAAGATAGCCCTTTTACTGATTTGTGTTGAAGGCAAAATGAAAGGTATATGAAAGATTTTTGTAAACCTGCAAAACATCATCCTAAAGAAATGTCAGTTGGTGTTAGGCTTAATTTTTCTTAGTTGGTTCATTCTCACATCCAGTAATAATTATCCCATACATAAATCTGTTGGCTTTTTTTTTTGGGTCCAACAAACTCTTGCTGTTACCTACTTCAAAGAAAAAATGATAAATAGTATTTATTCTTTAATATCATGTGATGATTAAAAGTGCACATGAACCCTTAAACACTCTTAATACAAAACTGCTTCTCAAATTTGACTCCCTCAAATAGGCGTGCGTTTAAACTGAAGGGATACACAGGTGTCATTTTAAAAATGGTATTAAATATTCAGTATTTTCTTCCAGGTGGTAGATGCAAGGGCAGGGCCCAGTCTGAAGACTACATTGAAACCAAAGAAAGTGAAAACTCTATCTGGAAACAGAATAAAAAGCAACCAGATCAGTAAACTGCAGAAGGAGTTCAAACGTCATAGTAAGTTTGGAGTTGAAACATTACTACTTAAGAATAATTATTTAGTTTTGATTTTTGGCTGGTGTTTGTTGGAGGAGACATATGGTATGTGTGGGTCTTTTTTTCCTTGGTTTATTGTTATTATTTTTATTTCTTAAAGACTCTGGGAAGACAGTGCTGACTTGGTAGAGAGATTATTTTATTTCTACTAAATCTTAGAACTCTTTAATTCTGATGTCATAAAAGTACTTTTTGTTAGCTAGCCACTTCTTCAAATACTGCTTCAAATAGATGTCTTTACTGACACCTTAATTTTCTAGAAGGTGCATTTTTCTAGCTCAATTTTGCTTGACTTTTATGCATAAAGACATTGAGGCCTCGACACGTACAGAAGGGTACATACATCATTAGTAGACAGTCTGAGACCAAAGCCCAGGTTTTCTGGAAGGTAACTTTACAAATTATAACTCCCACATTGGAGTAAAACCGGCCTCAGGACTTTCAGATTTAAAGGGCAGTGTATGTTGTGTGGAATAATGGAAGGGGAAAAGAATGTCAAAATAGTGTTTTGTTTACACGCATGGAGTTGCCACAAGTCGGGACCTACTCGATGGCAACTGGCTTTTTTACACACTATCCGAAGCCCTTGGCGGTGGTGGTAGTACATTTAGATATTGGGATTTAGATTTTAAATTTTGAAAGGGAAATACAGTGCATATAATGTATATTATACAACTTCCATATCAACCCTGTGAGGCAGCACTATTGAATCAAACAGTGTGAAGGTGTTGGACCTAGAGCTTGAAGATCTGAATTTGAGTTACAGTTCTTGTCACTTACAGATGTGTGATACTGGAGTCACTTGACATCTTAGCCACAATTTCTTTATCAGAGAAATGGAGATAATCAAGTAAAAAAGGGTTTTGTAAAACAGAATAAAATTCCTGTGTAAACGTTTACTAATCTTTTTATGTCACGTTTCTTCCTAAAATCTACAGTGACTTCTGGCTGGTGTAGAATAAATTTGAAATCCCTGACAAAGCATATTTGTACTGAGCCAGTTCCCTGCATGAGCAGAGTGTTGTGCTTCTATGACTTTGCTCATTGTCCCTTCCTACTCCATGCTATCTAATCACTCCTTTGTCCCTTTCCAAATCCTACCTAATTTTAAAGACTTAAGATTACAGTTCTCTCTAGCAGGGGCCGGGGGTCTGGGGACCATGGTTTCAGGGGACATCTAGGTCAATTGGCATAACAAAGTTTTTTAAGAAAATGTTCTGCATCCCACTTTGGTGAGTGGCTACTGGGGTCTTAAAAGGTAGCGAGCGGCCATCTCAGATGCATCAATTGGTTCCAACCCACCTGGCGTAAAGGAGAATGGAGAACACCACGGACACAAGGAAAGTATTAGCCCAAGAGACAGAAAGGGCCACATGGTTTATAGAGACTTCATCAGCCTGAGACCAGAAGAACTAGATGGTGCCCAGCTACCACAGTGACTGCCCTGACGGGGAACACAACAGAGAGTCCCTGATAGAGCAGGAGAAAAGTGGGGTGCAGAACTCAGATTCTAATAAAAAGACCAGACTTAATGGTTTGATTGAGACTGGAGGGACCCTGGAAGACATGGCCCCCAGGATCTCTATTAGCCCAAAATTAAAACCATTCCCGAGGCCAACTCTTCAGACAAAGATTAGACCGGACTATGGGACGTAAAATGATACTCACGAAGAGTGTGCTCAGGTAGATACATGAGACTAAATGGGCAGCTCCTGTCCAGAGGCAAGATGAGAAGGCAGAGAGGGTCAGGAGCTGGTTCAATAGACACGGGAAATCCAGGGTGAAAAGTAAGAGTGTGCTGGCACAGTATAGGGAGAGCAACTAGGGTCACATAACAATGTATGTATAAATTTTTGTATGAGAGACTAACTTGAATTGTAAACTTTCACTTAAAGCACAACAATAAAAATAAAAAATAAAAGATTACAGTTCTCTGGATAATTTCCAGACCTGTGTTCTAGAAGAGAAATTTCTTCTTCCTTGCTGTCTTTATATATATTTAGTTGTTGTATGTATCCTAGCATCCCTGTTATTAGATTAAGCCACATGAAATTGTCATTTTTATAGGGTAAAAATGCAAATAGCTGCAATTTCAAATAGTTCAAAGGTATTAAGCATCTCCTAGCATAATGAGCTTTCCTACCCAGTTAGCATAGAGCTGACTGCTGCTGTTAATTATTTGGAAAGTCTTCTAAGCATTCCAGTAGACTTATTCCTTTGAAGCTTGCTACTCTTGAGGGCTTTTTTTTTTTTTTTTAAATGAAGTCAAAAGGTATTCATATATTGAAAGTAAATTAACATTAAAAATAGTAATGATACTTTTAGATACCTAATTTTGTGCTATTTTATGTTAACTTTTGTTAATGCAAAAGTTATGAGCTATATTTGAAAATGTTTCTTCCCATGCAGTATGCAACACAGGGTTTGAGGCCTACAGATACTTAATAAATGTTTGATTGGTTCTTAGTATTGAAGGATTGCTTTATCCACCCTTTTCTGAAAGGGGGGAGTCTTTGGTTAAAGCTAAGATACATGGTAGGCTCCACCCTGATTTGTTATATTATTGCCATGACTATGTGGCTATCATGGATTCCTGGTGGTGCAGTGGTTAAGAGCTATGACTGCTAATCAAAAACCTTGTGGTTTGAATCCACCACCCGCTCCTTGGAAACCCTATAGGGCAGTTCTTCTCTGTCCTATAGGGTCACTGTGTTGGAACTTACATGATGGCAATGGATTTCGTTTAATGTGACTATCACAGTGACTATCTTGTCAGTCAAAAGATTTATTTTCTGACTTATAAATTTATATGAAGTCTTCTGAGGATAAAAATATTAAATCATGTTTGGTATCTAATGCAGCTAATGAGTTGCCTTCATTTCATATTAAATCAGGATCTATTATTTTTCCTCTTTAGGTAAGGTATCATTTTTCTTTGGTTGCTTTGAAGATTTTTTTCTTTGTCTTTTGTTTTCAGAAGTTTAATTATGATGTGTCTTGATATGGATTTCTTTCATTTTATCCTGTTTGGAGTTTGCTCAGCTTCTTGTATCTGTAGGTGTATGTCTCTTGTCAAATTTAGCATGTTTCCAACCATTATTCTTTTGACTACTTTTTTGGCCATGCCCTCTTTCTCGTCTCCTTCTAGGACTCCAGTGACATGAATGTTAGACCTTTTGTTATAACCCCACAGGTGCCTGAGGCTGTGTTCATTCTTTTCTCTCTGTTCAGATTGAGTAATTTCCAGTTTACTGATTCTTTTCTTCTGTCCTCTCCATTCTTCTGTTGAGCCTATCTGCTGAACTTTTTATTTAATGTGTTGTATTTTTCAGTTCTAAAATTTCCATTTAGTTCTTCTTTATAACTTTTTTCTTTTCTTGAGACTTTCCATTACCTTGCTGTGGCTTTCTATGTTTTTATTTGTTTCAAGTGTGTTGGTACTTGGTGTTGGCATCTGTTTATCTTTTTTCATTAGTGGTATGATGTGATTTTTTTTTTTTTTTTCAAGTTAAAACCTGGACATTTTTGTATTATGAGACTCTGGATTATATTTAAACTTTCTGTTTTAAATGGCTTTTTTTAGACAGCACTTCTGCAGAGGAAAGGGACCATACCACCTTGTTACTGCCTGGTGGTCTTAAAATCAGATTCCAACCTCTGTTGACACCCTAAAAGAGGGGAATGGGATCCCTATTACCAAGGGGTGGGGGTGGGAATTCTGGCTCCCCAAATGGTCTCCACTGATACCCCAGTGGGACTGGCCTCGTTATTGCTGGGTAATGGTGAAGGTCCTGACTCTCCACGAGGCTGCCTCTAATACCACGCTGGCAGAGGTGTTGCAGTGCCTCGTTATAGGCTTCTACAGGTAGAAATCTAGGGTCTCCACTCAGCCTTTGCTGAGGCAAGTGGGAATAGGACCACAGTTTTTTTCTGTGGTGTTTGGTTGGAATAGAGTGGTTATCGTCTAATAAAAGTTTTCTACCCCTTTCCTGGTCTTTTGGTGAGAGAGAGTAGGCTTTTGTTGGGGATTTCATTTTTTGTCTGTGCCGTTTGGCATTTCTGGGTTGCCACCTTCTTCAACTCTTAAACCTGGGATTTATGAGGCAAAAAGAAGAACCCTGGGAACTCACCACCATGTCTTACCTTGAGTTCTGAGATGCCTAGCCCATCTGCCATCTTCTTTCTACCTTTCAAAGTTTTCTTAGGTTTGCATTATATATAATATCCAGGGATTTTAGTTGTATTTATTAGCAGGAGGAGTAGGGAAACGTATGTCTACTCTTCTTATAAGCATAGAATCCTCACTGTCTTTTAGAAACACTTTTGTTACAAATATCTTTAAATACCAGTGTGAATAGAAGTGAAATAATTGTTTTTTTTGCTAACTCATTTATCGTTCTATGCTGAGGTTTGGTTGCAGTTACATATAATGAGATTGAAAATTTTTTTCTCTTTATTGCAGATTCTGATGCTCACAGTACCACCTCAAGTGCCTCCCCAGCTCAGTCTCCTTGTTACAGTAACCAGTCAGATGATGGCTCAGATACAGAGATGGCTTCTGGCTCTAACCGAACACCAGTCTTTTCCTTTTTAGATCTTACATACTGGAAAAGGTAAAAAGCAACAGAAAATCTCTCTCTAACCAGCAAACCATCTTAATTGCAGGCAACTGTTTTCCTGCTTCCTTAGCAATTAATTGGCATTTGGCAAACAGCTGGTAGCACACATGGTCGGAGGTGGATTATTAAGCAGGAATTGAGCAGAGAGTTGGAATTTTATATGTTCTATTAGAATTGATTTAAAATAAAAATCACACCGGGGAATCTAAATTTCCTATTATAAAGTAGACTCATGGAGTAAAACTCTTCCGCTGGAAAAAAGGACAAGTGCTAGGAATACATTTCTTAAAAAAAATCTTTAAAAACGGCACTGGTAAGTTAATAAGGAAAACTTAGCAGCCAAAAACTAAGTGAATTTCAAACCTCAAAGTGCACAAAGAGATAATAGACAAGGAAAGAGGAAATGCTCAAAGAGAAAGTGCTTAAAGATTTTTTAGCACTGATTTTAGGAAGCCTAACAAATTAAAAGCATAATAATTTTAAAAGTCCATCCATAGACTGTCATAGTAAAACTATGGAACATGAAAAACAAAAAAGATCTTTAAGCAGTGAGGAAATACAGACATTATTTTCAAAGAAACAACGAACACACAAAGCTTTGTCAACCTCAACAAAGGAAGATAGAAAAGGACAGATTAATATCTTCAATGTGCCAAGAGATAATAACTCTCAACCTAGAATTACATATGTAGCAAAGATGTTTTTTATGAACGAGGGTGTAGTAAAGACATTTTGAGTAAAGGAAAAAAAATTGAGTTTGCCGCTAAACAGACCCCCACTAAAGTAAATCCACAGGCAAAAGGGAAGAGATCCCCGATTGAAATTCTGAGAAGAAAGGATGAAGAAAGAAAGTAGTAAATATTTTGGTAAATTTAAGCAAACATTGTTTAAAATGACAACAGGTGTGTGTAGAAAAAAAGAAGTAACAATAACATAAGTCGAGGTGATACAGGTGATAGGAGTCCAAGTGTCCTAATGTCCTTGAATATTTCTTGAAAAACTTTAGGCTTGGGTAAATTAACCATGTATTACATTAAAATTTTTAGAGTAATGACTAAAAGAGTATATAAAACGTTCAGAGTATAAGGGAAAGACTGGGGATTAGAATGAAAGTAAATACCCAATCCAAAAGATGGCAGTAAAGAAGAGATACATGAAAAAAGTAGAACAAATGGAAATGTGTAGAAACTTGGTGGAAATAAATTATGGTAGAAATAAACCCTAAAAGATCAGTAATGAGAATAAATGTAAATAGTAATGGCCCCAATTAGAAGACCAAAGGTTGGATAATCAAACTTCAGCTATTTTCTGTTCACCAGAGATAAAGTTTAAAAAGAAAGGGATGGAAAAAAATAATACCTAGCAAACAATAACCAAAAGGAAGTTGATACAGATTTAATATAAATGGACACAACAGATTTTAAGTGAAGAAAAGGGTTACTAGAAGTAAAGAGGTTACTATATTTTGGTAAAAACTGCCATTTCCAAGGAAGTTTAAACATTTCAAAACTTCTGGATTTAATAATAGCTTCAAAATAAAGCTTAAACTGGTGGCATAATATGGAGAAATTGCCAAATTACTGTAGTTAGAGATTTTAAACATCACTCAAAAAAATCAGACAAATCAATAGGAATCTAGAGATGATTGGAACAACACAATTTACAGGCTTGATCTCATGGCCACACAACACTGCCACTGACCGTTATCTCTTAAACTATGCTGCTGTCTATCCAAAATGGAATTAGCAAAAAGATAATAGAAAAATCCCATGTTCGTAAGTTAAGTAATTCTTGGGTCCAAGAAGAAATAATAGAAATTAGAAGATAGTTCTTACTGAACAATAACTAGAAAACACCACAAATTAAAGCATGTAGGATGAAACTAAAGAAGAATGTAGAGAAAAATAGATAGCCTTTAATGTTAATTATGAAACAATAGAGGCTAAAATTAAACGAGCTGATAGTATTGAACTTAACGGTTGATAAAGACCAATATAAAGATAAATAAAAGCAAGGAAATCTTAGAGATATGAGTAGAAATCAGTGGAATAGAAAACCAGTATGCAGCAGAGAGCATCAGTAAAGCTAAGAGTTGGTTCTTGAAAAAGACCTGACCAAAAATGATAGTTGTATGCCATCGAGTTGATTCCGAGTCATAGCGACCCTACAGGACAGGGTAGAACTGCCCCGTGGGGTTTCCTAGGCTGTAATCTTTATGGGAACAGATTAACAGTCTTTTTTCCTGCAGAACTGCTGGTGGGTTCCTAACGTCAACTGTTTGGTTCGTCACCGAGCGCTTAACCATTGCACATCAGGTCCCCTTAAAAAATGTTACTAGAAATAAAAGAGTATCAAGAAAAGAGATGGTACACATAAGCAATCTTAGGAAAGAAAAAGGAGATTTAACTACAGATAAAGCAGAAATTTGAAAGATCATAGGATATTATAAACAACTGTGTGCCAATAAATTTGAACATATGGATAAAGTAGATATATATTACTAAAAAAAAATTATCAAAACTCTAAAAACAAATAGAAAAAATGAATAATTACATGATAAAGCAGTTATTTCAGTGGTCAAAAATATTCCTTTAAAGATATCCAGGCCCAGATAGACAGATTTACCAAACATTTCCGGAAAAAATCGTAATCTTGCAATGAGGTAAAGATAAAGGAGGTCCTAGACTCCAAGCATTTTATCACATCGATCCTATATAAAAACTAAACCCGTTGCCATCAAGTGGATTCCAACTCATAGTGACCCTATAAGACAGAGTAGAACTGCCCCATAGGGTTTTCAAGGCTGTAATTGTTATGGAAGCAGACTGCCACATCTTTCTCCCAGGGAACAGCTGGTGGGTTAGCAACACAGTGCTTAACCACTGCACCTCCAGGGCTCCTTTGACCCTCTTTAGGAAGGAAAAAATAGCCTGTCATCTTAGTGGTAAGGAGAAGAAGTTTGATAAATTTGAACATTTCTTCAAGATTTACAACAAACTTTTAACAGAATAGAAGGGAACTTCTTTACCTAGATAATAGATATCTACAAGATAGTACAGTCAACATCATACTTAATTGTTGTACAGTCAATGTGCTGCGTAACATCCATTTGGACAACATCTGACCGCATATGCATCTGTGGTCCCTTAAGGTTATACAATTCAGAAATCCTGATTGGAGAACGGGATGTAGGGGACGCAACAGCTTCCCGCATACAACACGTGTATCTCATGTCTTTTGTATACAAAGCGATTGTGCTGCCAGGTGTATAATGGTACAGTACAAAAATAACTTATAATACATAGGTCTTGATAATCATAATAAATGCCTATGTTACTGGTTTGTGTATGTACTGTACTTTCTAGTGTCATTTTAATGTGAACTTTCCCTACTTAAAAATAAAAAGTTTACCCTATGACAGTGTATGCTTCAACTCGTAGGTAGCAGCCTGCAGTCTCAGGTATCGTGCATCTCTTGTGTGTTCTATCATTAGCTCTTTTTAATTATTCTTTCGAAAATATTATAGTGAAGTGCGTCATGACTCCCAAATGCAGCAAAACCAGTGCTAGTGATAGCAGCAAGAGGCAAGGGGGAAGTATCAATTTTAAGTGAAACAAAAGGCTATTAAATAACACGAAGTTGGAAAAATCAGTGAATGCTGTTCTTCACGATTTAGACATGTTTGTATAACATCCAAATCACATAATGTCCTATTTCACAGAACCTATGGTGGACATTAAGTGATTCATGACTGTACAATGAAATAATTTTTTTTAAGATCAGGAACAAATCAAGAGTGTTCACTATTGTCATTTCCAATCAATGTTATACAGGAGGTCCTAGCCAGTGCAGTGGTGGTGGTGATAAATACTTAGTACCTAGTACATAGTAAACACTATATAGGTGGTTTACATGTATTAATTAATTTAGTCCTTATTAGCGATCTTACAAGGCATTATGAGAAACAGAGCTACAAAAAGGAAGTCATTTGCTAAGGGTCTCACGGTAAGTAGAGTATTAAAAGCCCTTTGTGTAGAAAATTTAAAAATATAACGTTATTAAACAACATTTAAAAAGACCTAAACAAATTGTGAATGTAGAAAAACTGAATATTATGAAAATGATCACTTGCCAAATCATTTAATAAATTCAGGGTAGTTGGCAGTCAGAATCTCAGGATATATGTTGGACTTAACAATCTAGTTTAAATTTTATGTGGAAAAGCAAAGAGCCCAAAATAGTCATTTATTTCTAGAAGAATAAGAAAAATGTAGTGTACTTGTCCCAAGAGTAATCAAGACATTGTGAAACCATAATATTTGATATGGTCTGTTTGTGGAATAGGATTAGAAAAATAAACAAATGGAATGGAATAGAGCTGTCTAGAAGCAAGCCCATGCATGTATGGAAAGTTGGTTTGTGATCCATAGTGTTAGAGATCAGTGGGGAAAAATGGACTATTGAATAATGTTGCTAGGATATTGTAAACAATATGGCTATCCATGTAGAAAATTTTTGCTGAGATCAACATACACAAAAGTCAATTTCAGGTGGGTTGAAGTATAAAATAAGGAGAGAATATCTTTATGACTTTGGGTGGGAAAGGATTTTTTATGAAGACTAAGTTTGACTACATTGAAATTAAAAACTTAAAGTTTATTTATCAGTGACACCATTAAGAGCGAAATATATCCATCTCCAGCAAAGGGTTAGTATCTGGAATACATAAACTACAAGGATAGAAAAAGACAACCTGTGTCAGTTGCCTAGTACTGCTGTAACAGAAATACCACAAGTGAATGGCTTTAACAAAGAAAGAGAAATTTATTCTCGCACAGTCTAGGAGGCTAGAAGTCCAAATTCAGGGCGCCAGCTCCAGGGTAAGGCTTTCTCTCTCTTGTCAGCTCTAGGGGAAGGTCCTGGTCATCAATCTTCACCTGGTCTACGGGCATCTCAGTGCCCGGAGCCTGTGTCCAAAAGATGCATACCGCTCCCAGCTCTGCCTTCTTGGTGTTAGGACATCTCCCTGTCTCTCTGCTCACTTCTCTCTTTTATATCTCAAAAGAGGTTGACTCAAAACACAACCTAATCTTGTAGATTGAATCCTGCCTCATTAACATCATAGAGGTAGGATTTACAACACGTAAGAAAGTCACATCAGATGACAAAATGGTGGACAATCACACAATACTGGGAATCATGGCCTAGCCAAGTTGACATACATCCACAATACAATCCAACAGAAAAATGGGCACAAGTCATGAAACGGTATTACATAAGAGAAATCTGAATAGCCTATTAAATGAAAATGTGTTCTGCCTTTTCGATAATCAAGGAAATACAAATTAAAATCTCAATGAGATGCCATTTTACACTGACTAAATTGGCAAAAACTAAAGTCCCCCAATGCCAAATGTTGGAGAAGATATGGAGCCACTGTTGGTTGCGAGTGCAAATGGTTACAACCACACTGATAAATGACATCTTCAGGTGAAATTGAAGATGTTCCCATCCTATATCTTGGCAACAAATCCTAGAGAAAACCTTTACGCAGAGGCACGAATATGTACAGCAATGTTTGCAATAGCAAAAATTGTCCATCAAAAGGAGAGTGTATAAATATATTGTATATTTATATAGTAGAATTCTATACATAAGTTAAAATCTATGAATCTCAATAACCTAATATTGAACAAAAAAATTACAGAATACAGTGTGATTATATATCTCAGATATATGCATAAGATATATAAATATATATTAATGGAGACATGGGCACAAGACATGAAAAGGTATTGTATGTGTGTTTGTATATGATAACTAAGCAATATGTTTATAAATGCAAATGTAAAATTATGAAGTATAAAGAAAACTGGGAGTGATAAACATAAAATTCAGGGACTGGAATGGATGGGGTGAGATTGGTGAAGAGCAGACGGGGACTTCATAGGAAATGGTAATTTTTTTTCTTTAGTGTTTGTGATCCATGGATATTTTTGTTGTACTGTAATTTTTTTTAGGAGCACCCTCAAACTGTTGTCTCAGAATGTCTTCTTCCCCTTTAATACCTCATAAAATTCCAGTTTGTCCTTTAAGGGACCTGGGTAATTTCCATTACCTATGGGACAGTTCTACTCTGTCCTGTAGAGTCGCTATGAGTCGGAATCAACTTGACGGCAGTGGGTTTGGTTTAACTAATTGGAGTCACTTGAGGAGCCTGTTTGTTTGACATATGATGAGATTGTAGAGGTAGAATCTTTTTCGTCATGTTGTACTTGGCATAATAAGTAGATATCCCCCTTTTTTTTGAATTGCTATTTTTCTTACGCATTTATTCTTTCTCTCCATTTTTTTTTTTTTTTTTTCCTTTTAGACAGAAAATATGTTGTGGAATTATCTATAAAGGTCGTTTTGGGGAAGTCCTCATTGACACACATCTATTCAAGCCTTGCTGCAGCAATAAGAAAGCGACTGCTGAGAAGCCGGAGGAGCAGGGGCCAGAGCCTCTACCCATCTCCACTCAGGAGTGGTGACTGAGGTTTATGTAGAAGGGGAACAAAAAATGATTTAAATTTTAGAAAGATGCAACAAAGTAACCCTCGTATTTTTAACTCGGATACTTGCTATTCTGCCAAAAGACAATATGTAGAATGGTTTTGAATGGGTTATTTTTCTCTCCAGTTCCACAAACTTTGAAGCCAGTGTCTAGTTCACTTAAAAAAAAAAAAAGTGTACATAATATTTAAGATGCTGAGTATTTCATAGGAAAGCTGAATGCTGCTGTAAAGTGCTCTTTAAGTCTTTTTTTTTTTTTTTAATCCCCTTCTAATGAATGAAAAGGGTGATTTCAGGGGACAGAGATGGGATTTTGTTGTATAATAAACTGTATGTAGTTTTAGTCTTTCTATATTGAGAAGCAGTGGTTGGGGCATTTTTAAAGATGGCTGGCTATACTTCTTTTCCCTCATGATAATAAATTTGTCATATCTCAGTAACATGGACTTGCCCCTAGAGGTATTTGTTAATAATTTTAAAATATTAAGGTCTTGCCAATGTTCTGATGATTCAAGCCTATACTACTGAAATATTAAGCAGGACAGACTAAACTTACAGGTACAAATACCTTGAAGGAGAAAAAGTAATGACTAAATATAAGCCCAAAACCAAACCCATTGCCGTCTAGTTGATTCTGACTTGTAGTGACCCGTAGGACAGAGTAGAACTGCCCCATGGGGTTTCCAAGGTCATAAATCTTTATGGAAGCAGATTGCCACATCTTTCTCCCATGGAGTGGCTGGTGGGTTTGAACCGCTAACCTTTTAACAGCCGAGCGCTTTAACCACTCTGCCACCAGGGCTCCTCTGACTAAATATACAGAGAGGTAATTTGACTGCGTATGTTGCATCCAGTTTCACCTCCCTCCATATTATTATTTGATAAAGATTTTAATTTATATGAAACTTCTAAAGCAGAATCAAAGCTTCTCTTGGAGAAATGGCAAGTTTTTAGGATAAGCAATCCTAAATTGGTACCAAAGCATTACCACATGATAGAGAACACACTCTATTAAACATGTTAAATTTCTGGAAATAAAATGTGCAAGTCTTCAAGGTGGCATAAAACAAAGGCTAATGCTTCTTGGGGCACATTTCTTAGAGGGCTTGCTGAGTGTGTAAATAATTGACTTTTATTTGTGTTATGTGACTGTTTGGTGACTTCATTTGAAAATATGCACAATTCAGTTTTAGCTCTGGATTACTTCAGTTGACCTTTGTGAAGGTTTTATCTGTGTAGAGTAGATATTTGACTTATTTTAACCTATTAGGTTTTTTTGTTTTTTCACTCTATATTTAAAGTAAAATTCTACTAAAAGAAAAGAGGTGTGTGTCAATGCTGAGTGGGTTGATTTTTGGTTTGGTATCTTTTAGCCAAGCTTTCTGAACATTGCGATTTTGGGTGATAAATCCTGAATGTGGATCTCTTCAATTCTAAAATCTTCATTAAAGGCCTCTCACTTGAACCCAAACCAAAGTACTCTCATTGCCTCTTTTCTAAAAGTTCAGGAAAAAACTATCACCAGTTAAGACTATTCATAATGAGGGAGGAGCATTTTGCCTACCTTATAGTAACAATACTCAGTGTTTATTTTTAAAACTGGATTTTAAAAATTGGATAGTATAATATCAATAAGGAGTGAGCCACTTTTTTGGGCATCCTATAGTTTTACAGTTCATAATCTAAACTTTTAAGATTCTATATTTCTTCCTTTTGGAAAAAGCCTACATGCTACATGCCACTATATGCACAGACTACACAGTGAGTTGGGTCGGCTCTCCCACAGCCTTTGAGGTGTATTGCAAGAGTCCCAGCCTTATCATCTTCTTCTGAGTTTTGTTTGAAATGGTTTCTTTTCTCTTTTTTTTTTTTGTACATTTTGGCTGCAGTATTGGTGGTAGAATATACTATAATATGGATCATCTCTACTTCTGTATTTATTTATTTATTACTAGACCTCAACCACAGTCTTCTTTTTCCCCTTCCACTTCTCTTTGCCTGTAGGATTACTGTATGTAGTCATGCACTTTGTATTAATATATTAGAAATCTACAAATCTGTTTTGTACTTTTTATACTGTTGGATACTTATAATCAAAACTTTTACTAGGGTATTGAATAAATTTAGTCTTATTAGAAAATAAAAGAGGCTTTTTGTGGCTTTGTTTGGAAAGTCTTCTTTGGTAAGAATAACTAATGTTTTTCGCCCTCACAGATATTCAGTGTTGTTAGCTGCCATGGAGTCGGACCCTGACTCATGGTGACCCCATGTACAATGGAACTAAATACTGCCTGGACCTTTGTGATCCATAGGGTTTTCATTGGCTGATTTTTTTTAGTAGATAGGGCTTTCTTGTAGTCCATCTTAGTCTGGAAACTGTTAAAACCTCTTCAGCATCATAGCAACACACAAGCCTCCACTGACAGACTGACAGATGGGTGGTGGCTGCCCATGAGGTGTGTTGGCCAGGAATTGAACCCAGGTCCCCTGCATGGAAGGCAGATTCTCCCACTGAACTACCAATGACCTCATTATTCAGTGTAAGCCCTTAATATTATAAGAAGCCGCGAGGGGAAATAATCCTCTTTACTAAGAAATAAAGATTTTAGAATAAAAGACATTTTAACTGTAGTGCTCAGTAATTAACCTAGTAAATAAGATGACTTTAAGAACAAAATGTCCCCAGTAGTTTAATGTCTGTGATGTGGTTTCATTGTGTATGGACATCATAGGAAGCATCACTGAGAATTATGAAAGTTGATTATAGGGAAAGGCAGATTTTTTATTTTTGTAGGGAAAAGAGCACCAGTTTGGGAGTCAGAAATGGATTGAAATTCCAGTTGTGTGATCTTGGACAATTCATTAAGCCTCACCTGTGAAATACAGATAATAATCTTTTTTTTTTTGTTTGTGCTTTAGATGAGGGTTTACAGAGCAAATTAGTTTCTCATTAAAAAATGTACATACTGTTTAGTGACATTGATTGCCAATCCTGCAACGTGTCAATACTCTCCCCTTCTCGACCTTGTGTTCCCCATTTCCATTCATCCAGCTTTCCTGTCCCCTCCTGGGGAAAGGCAGATTTTGACATTCGGATACCTGGATTCTTTAGTTCTGGCTCTGCCCCTTATTAGCCATTTGAGTCATTTGGCCTTTGCAAGCCTCCTTTCCTATTCTGTAAAATAGATTCACTTATTTTACAGAATTATGAAGGATCCAAAGAGGTATAAAACTCATATCACAAGGTTTTGAAAAATTTATTACCCTTGGAAAGGTAGATTGCATGGGCCACTTTTTATACTAAGGTCTTTACACAGCAAAAGCAGTGCTCAGAGGTCAGTTCATAGCAATAAATGCACACATCCAAAATGAAGGGCCAAAATCAAAACATTAACCCTACAACTCAAACAAGTAGAAAGAGAGCAGCAAAACCAGCCCTCGGTGGCCAGAATTGAAAATAATACTAGAGCAGAAATAAATGAAATAGATAATAGAAAAACAATTTGAAAAGGGGTAACAAGACCAAAAGCTGGTTCTTAGAAAAGACCAAAAAAATCGATAAACCATTGGCCAAACTCACAAAAGAAAAACAGGAGAGGAAGCAAATAACCTGAATAAGAAATGAGATGGGTGATACCACAACAGACCCAACAGAAATTTAAAAAAATCAGAATACTATGAAAATTGTACTCTTAAACAATTTGAAAACCTAGAGGAAATGGACAAATTTCTAGAAACTCCCTACCTACCTAAACTTCAATTAGGTATTTAAATTTGCTCTGGGATAGTCCAAGTGATTTTGCCAGCATCTAGTCTAGCTATTAAGAAATTGTCAAGTTAACGTAGGATAGGGGAAAGGTGATAGCACCTGTAATATCTATTGCTACATAACAAATCACTATGACACAAATTTATTACAGCAGTTTTTGTGGCTATGAATTCTGGGCACAGCTTGGCTGGGACCTCTCCTTAGGGTCTCAAGGCCTCAGTAAGGGTGTCAGTTGGGCTGCACTCACATCTAGAGGCTTTATTTGGGAAGATCCTACTTCCAAGCTCACTCAGCTTGTGGCTGAATTTGTTTCCTTCTGGCTATAGGACTGTGATCCCAGGCTTCTTCCTGGCTGTTGGAGGCTGCCCTTAGTTCCTCGCCATGTGGGGTTTCTCAACATGACCCCTTAATAAAGTAAATCAACAGGTAAAGTCTGTAGAGCCTGTCTGTGAGCAAGATGGAGCCTTAGAGCACATTCAAGTGAAGGGGATTACACAAAAGCATGAAGACCAAGAGGTGGGAAGTGAGGATCGTGGGGGACCACCTAAGTGTCTGCTATAGCATCACATTTTTTTTTTTTTAACTTGAATCCCTTGAAATATTGGGCCTCTTTTCCCTACAATGCAAGGGCTTTGTATAGCAACTAAAAAAACAGAAAATCCTCCCCTGGCCCCTTCTCCATTTTGAAACACTATTCGTTAGATACTTTAAAACATTTTAGGAATCGTGGAAAGTAAAAAAACCCACACCAGTTTTACAGGTCAGGTAAGTGGATATGCAAAATATTAAGAAAATCAAAGAAAAACCTTCTTTTCTGATTTCAGAGTCTTTGCTCTCCAAACTGGACCCTATCCCTGCAATAGTAGTGGTGCGTTTTTCTTAACCTTCTTACTGTCTCTGCCTCGCTTCCTTCTGAAGGCTGGAAATGAGAGGCAAGTTTTACCCTTGTAGAGATTGACCTTTATTCTGAATGTTAATCAAAGTTTGTTTTTTATTTTGATGATGTTCAGTGTACCTATTCTATGCAGTCTTTTCATGGAGAAAACAGTCTGGAAGTTTAATTAAGACAACTGGATGTTCTAAGAATTAATCAAGGCAGCCAGAACTTAACTGCTTGTACTGCAGCAAAGAATTAAAGACATCCAGGGAGCCTCTTTCTTCAGCATCCTTAAAACAGCTTTCTACTGCCTCAGATTTAGCATTGTGGTGCCCTGGCAGTCATTTTTGTGTGTTGTTAGTGAACTTGGAAGGGAGAAAGCCGAATTGGATCAAAGATAATTTCACAGGCTTGTGTTCTCAAACAAAGGGATCAGAGGGTTCTGTCTAACAATTTCTCAGGCTCTGGAGTCTGGTTACTCATTGTAATCATGAGAATGCTTTAGGTATCGAATACACCCTGGTTAGAAACTGCCTGTTATTGTGTGTTGAGTAGGGGGGTCTTGGACATACTTGCAGGCTTCAGTGTAAAAGAACTTAATCATTCAGTTTAGAGAGAGCCTGAAAATATTGGTCAAACCCTGTCCTTTGTCTCAGTGTCTGAAAGGGGTAAAAAGTAATTTACCTGTTTTAGAGCTTCTGTTATCTACACTTCTGTAGCGTACTTACATTAGCTTAACCCTGTCCAGGTATTGGTTTTTTGCAACTGCAAGGAATAGCAGCTGTTTTTTATTTACATTTATATTTAAATCTCAAAAATTAAACCACAAAAATTTCAAAATTCTTCAAGTCACCGATAGTTAAACTAGGAACCTGAACAATTATGTCATTATGGGTTTGTTTTTGTTGTTTTGTTTGGAGTTTTTGTTTTATTTTTTAGCTAGAAAGTGTATTCTTCACATCCAAAACCAAACCCATTGCTGTCGAATTGATTCTGGCTCATAGCGACCCTATAAAATAGAGTAGAACTTTCGCATAAGGTTCTCAAGGAGCAGCTGGCGGATTTGAAATGCTGGCCTTTTGGTTAGCAGCAGAGCTCTTAACAACTACGCCACCAGGGCTCCCTTCACCTCCAGCTACCTTTATAATTCACTACAGTATTGATTCTGCCCCCACCACACGGGTCACCAACTGGTAGATCCAAAGCCCTCATTTTACTCATACAGCCTCTCAACAACACTTGATAAAATTGATAGTTCCTTCCTCAAAACATTCTTGACTGATATCACTGTCATCTCCAGATTGTCTTCTTACCTCACTAGATGCTCATCAGCCCAGGCTTTATCTTGGGCCGTCTTCCCAGACTTTCCATTCCCTTAACCCCAAATTATCTAAAATATAATCTGTCTCTAGAGTATTTTATCAGTCAGAATGCTGGCAGGAAATAGATGCCTACTCAAATTGTATAATTTGAGGAAAGTTTAAAAAGGTACTTTTTACAAAAGTGTCTGGGAAAAGTGTTGGGAAATCCCAAGGGAGAGTGCAGTTCCTGGTACTAATAACATTGGAGCTAGTGATACTAGGGTGTTGTTCCTACAACTCCTGGTCTGAAGGGTTAAGAGGAGGGAGTGGTTAATGGAGACTGACAGGCTATGTAAAAAGGGTGGGGGATTGCGAGAAGCAGCAAAAATAAATACCCTTATTTTACTCTCCAGATTGACCAACTCCAATCAGAAGCGTGAAGGCAAGGGAGCTTGTTGACATAGTCCATTCAGATCAGCTTCCCCAGTGTGGAGTATGGATCTGGGGCAATAGAAGATATCCAACGCAAGCTCAGACTTTTTTCCTCGACTCCACATGTGCCTGTCTTAAAACACTTCCACTTGGTTATCTCGTATCTAAAACTGAGATACCTATCAGTTCCCTTCCCTCCTCATACACTCCCAAAAGCCCATTTTCTTCTTTCTGAAAATAAGTCAAAACCCAGGGATCTTTTACTCTGCCATCTTCATCTCTGTTATCCGATTGCTAAGTTGTCATTTCTACGCCCCTGAAATTCCTCTTAAAGCCATCTATTTCTCTCCATCTCTCCATCACTGTCACCCACAAGTCAAACCATCCTCATGTTTAACCTGAACTGTAGCAATAGTTTTCTAACCTACTTCCCCACACCCCATCCATTCTTCATGCAGCAGCCAGAACGATCGAAACAATATAAGGATATGTC